GCATCGGCAGGCGGACTCTCAACCATTGCGCCACCAGAGAAGCCCAACAAGTGTTTATTTTAAATAATACTAGGACCTAGGTTATATTCTAATCCTAGTTTTAGAATTCACCAACAGAGTGAACCCATGAAACCCTAAGCACTCCAACTTCCACCCCAATAAAGGCATAACCCCAGGTTCTGTCGACCCACACCACAACCTCTCTGTGTGACCCCAGGTGTGCTATGCACCCTCTAGGACTTTTGAGTAATAAACCTTGTCTTTTCAAAGTTCTCTGATACAACCAGTTGTTGTTGAGGTACGATTTGCAACTATAATAGGAACCACAAGGGCAGGTCCAGCCACGACATTGGTTGGGGAATATCTGTGGGGGGCCTCACCACAAGTAGTACCTGCTGGGGTGAGTGCCCCCAGGCATTCCTCCCTGATAGCATCACTCTTCACAGGCTGAGACCAGACACAAAACAACTGTGTTCTCTTAAACAGCTCACACCACTATTTCATGACCTTTTATAGTTGGTGGCTTCCATAGAAAATTTCAAGTACATATTTTGCGCTAGGCAGATAATTATTTCCTTCTTCTCCACTCCAGCCTTCCATCAATCTGTCCTCACTATACATTTCATAAGCACACCAGTCAGTATGATTAAAATGTCCCTAAAAAGGCAGCCAATCTTCAAAGAAGCCAATAAGACATAACCCATTTCAGGAAAAGAAAGAAAAAAAAAGTTGGTTCAGAAACAACTAAAATGTCAACGTGGTTTGAAAGAAACCAATCAGTAATACAGACATAAAGATGCTACGCTTGTGATTAGCTTGATTAACAAAATAATAAAGCCTGTTAGAAAAATATTAATAAAACATTCTGGTGATGAAAGCTTAGCTCTGATGAGTTGGAAAAGCAAAGAAAAATAATCCCGAGCCATTTCCCAATTTAGAAAGATTTTGTTTATCCTTCTTTGCTGGAGTTGGAGCCAACCATTCTGATGGTTTGGATTAGCTCTTAATATTTCTAGCCATTTGAGTAATCACATCAACGGTGCATTTCTGGGAACAGGCTATATCACCACAGACAGCAGGCTGTGGAACGAAGCTTCTCCACACCTAGGTCACAAGCCTCCTCTCTCCTTTCACCACTTTGACCAGTGGCCTTTAGTCGAAAATGGGCAAGAAGAAGTCAGTGACCCCAGGACATCAATGCACCCAGGCGGTCCACGTGGTGCCCATTGGTCCTCCTCCATCCCCAGGGTTTCCAAGAGCTCAGCTGCCCACTAAGTACCCAGGCTTGCAGCCGACTAACCCTCCCTGTTAGGCATCTTAGTCACTTGTTTTTTTAACAACATTATCGAAGTTGAGGCAGTGAAACCATGACAGAGGGAGAGGAGAAGTTAGTGTAAGTAAGAGGCTCGTACAATTCTTGAGACTTGCAAGAGACGAGTTCTTTTATCAGGATACCTATTTTAGGCTTGAATAGAATTGATGTGTTCATTTATTCATTCACTTTACAAATCCATTCTCTCTCCAAACGGCTATATATAAGATTCATGCCATGGCGGAAATAATTAGTTTTAGAATCAGAGGGACCTGGATTCAACTCCTGACTTAACATTTTTTCTGAGCCTGTTTCCTCACCTGTAAAGTTAAAATAATCATACCATCTTTGAGGGTTTTTCTAAGGATTTCAAATAATATATATAACATTACTGGCACATAGCAAATAATAAATCAGAGCTATAGTTATTACTATTTTATTATTATTAACGTTGCTGCTGCTAAGCAATACAAACCCCCAGTTCAATCCTCCATATTTACCTGAGGATGATTCTTCTTCTTAGTCAACTTCTTCAGTCTGACAGAGAGAAATTCAGATTTCCACCAGCTTTTTGTTAACTCAGCTCAACCATGGCAGTTCTCAGCCTCTAACAAAGACTTCTTCCCTGGGCTTCCCTGGTGGCGCAGTGGTTGGGGGTCCGCCTGCCGATGCGGGGGACATGGGTTCATGCCCCGGTCCGGGGGGGTCCCGCTGCCGCGGAGCGTCTGGGCCCGTGAGCCATGGCCGCTGGGCCTGCACATCCGGAGCCTGTGCTCTGCAGCGGGAGAGGCCGCAGCAAGACTTCTTCCCTGACCAAACCTTAATCAGGCTCCTCCTGTTACTGAGCAAGGGCTCATTGCCCGACGCACGTAGAAGCCAATACCATGGTACCGGCTTTTGAGAAGAGAAAAAGCTTTATTGTGAGGTCAACTGACAAGGAGGCTGAAAGCCTAACTCAAATCCGCCTCTCTGATCCAGGGTTCGGGAGAAATTTAAGCGGTTAGGGGAATTTCAAACTTGGAAGCTGATTGGCTAGTCTCAAATCAGTCCTCATAAGCTACTGGTGCTGCTGGAAGCCAGATTTTCTCTACTGAAGGACTTCTCACTTCACATAAAGGGCTCCGGTGGAAACATTTCTATTCTTTGGTCCTGGGGTCATCCTGGAGACCTGGCTTCTTGTCTTGCACATGTGCCATGCTGTGTCTAAAATAACTCGTCTGATTAGTCAATCAACCTATTTCAGGAGGCAAAGTCAGTTTAAGCCGGTCAATATTTTACATGCTGTTTCACTCTCAGCCCTCTTCTTAACTTGACCTTGGGCTGCTTCCTTTGACCTTGGCCTGCTGCCCTTGACCTTGGCCTGCTGGGCCCAGTCTTGGCACAATTCTTCCTAAGCCAATTTATTGAGAAGCCCCCACCCTTGATAGGTAATCACCGTGGCCTGCTTTAGCAAGAATCCCGTTCATCAAGAATCCCCCTGCACTTGATGTCTGATCAAGTTCCTCCTGGTGACTTCTGTCCACTGGCCCCCCTCACTCTGCTTGTTGGCCATAAATCTCCAGTTTGCCTTTGCTGTATTTGGAGTTGAGTTTAGTCTTCCCCTCTTGCAATGGGCTTGAAAAGAAGTCTCCCTACCATCCTAACAAGTGTTAGAATAATTTTTCTTTTACACCCCTCATCACTGCACGTCATTTCTGACTAGAGGGTGTCACTGCCCATTAAGACAGAAAATGGCACTTGGCCTCCTCTAGAGTCAGGACGAGTCACCATGGGGCCCAGCTGATTCCTCTGGCATGGGGCCATCACTCATCCACATGCAATAGTGGACACTCATCTGCTGAAACAGAACCACAGAGCTGGTTCCACTCAGAGCCCTGGAGGAAGTGAGATGGCTCCACTCCAGGCTCAGGCCTCCCCAGTGTGTTGAACCCTAGACCCGCGGAGAACCACACTGTTGCTCTACACAATTGCCTTTGCCTCCCCTTGAAGGCCTGCCCTTGCCCTCTCTCAGTTAATTTCTGATTCAAATTCACGCATCCTGTTTCTCCAGTCCCTCAGAGCCTTACTGAGCGACTCACTGACAATACTCTTAGGAGTGAACCGCTGATACTGACTCCAGGTTCTTCCTCTCAGAGCCACTCTTGCAGTGTATCCAGGGCCTTTGATGACTCAGAATTTAAGAGCTGGCAGAGGCCTCAGTGCTCAACAAGTCCTGTGTTTTCCTGATGATAGCATTGAGCTGAGGCCCTTGTTAAATACAAGTTACCAGGCATCTGCCCCTGGATATTCCAAATCTGGGCTGGGGCCCAGGAATGTGGCGGGGGGGGGGGGGTTGTTTCGTTTTTGGGTTTTTTTTGCGGTATGCGGGGCTCTCACTGCTGTGGCCTCTCCCGTTGCGGAGCACAGGCTCCGGACGCGCAGGCTCATTGGGCCCAGCCGCTCCGCGGCATGTGGGATCCTCCCGGACCGGGGCACGAACCCATGTCCCCTGCATCGGCAGGCGGACTCTCAACCACTGCGCCACCAGGGAAGCCCAGGAATGTGGGTTTTTAAGAAACACTCCGAGGGGTGCTCACCTTCAGGGAAGACTGGGAGACACTGAAATTCTACCATAACCCTGATTATTTTACAGAAGGGGAAGCTGAGGCCTGTATAGGTGTAAAGGCTCACCCAAGGCTGCCTGCTCCTCCTTGGCAGATCCAAGTCCAGGGTCAGGTTGCTGACTCCCGGTACAATGACTGTGCCCTTCAGTCTGTAGCCTTGGCTCAGGGAAGCAGGAGGCTCAGGCTGGGAGTTTGGACACCATGTTGGCCAGTGGGTGAGGAGTCCACTGCACCCATAATGACCCCTCTCCTAATGCCCTGTGTCATGCCTGCGGTCGAGTCGGCCTCCCATTTAAAACAGGAAATGAGCAGGCCTGTGCGAATAATGACTGCTGCTCCCTGCCCTCTTTCTCTGGATCTGTTGCCTGTGCTAAGGGTCAGGAGAGCCAACTACAGTCTCTAGTGACCTTGAATTAGAGACACTTTATCCATCTAGGCCCCAGTTTCTTCATATATAAAATAAGGTAACTGAAACGAGATTAGGGTCTCAAAACTTTTCCCAAAAAGGAGAGTCCCCTGATGGGCTCAGGAGCTCAGTGTGGAGTTACAGTAAGAGTTGGGGCTGATGTTAGGGAAGAAGAAAGAGGAAGAAATGGAATCTGTGGGCAGCGCTCAGAGGTGAGCTGTCCTGGAGTGTAAGTTCCTCAAACCAGGTAATGAATGGACCCCTTCACATTCTTGGGAAATTATTGCAGACCCCCAACTATCGTTTTAATTTTTATTATAGTGTTATTTCCATATGTACAGCCATAAAAATGTATAAACTCCATGTTTATAGGTTACCATATCATTGCAGAACAAAAGTGAAATCAAATGCCACAAAGCTAATGAAATTCAAATCTGTGATATTAATTTAATGTGATAGGTAAGTGGATGATATTGTCTTGCAGAAACTAAATTGCCAATTTGCGGTTAATAGTAGAAAAATGTTAGCTCAGGTCTGCTCATATATTTGGTCTTTTTCTATATTGTGAGTTTGAAAATACAACTCCCAAGGACATCTGTTTGCACACAAAACAGAAGTATTAATGCATCCCAGCCTTTGTTTGTAATTCAGGAGGAGGAAACCTTCCACTTAACCAACACGCTGTAAGTGAGCAATGCAGATGTTACTTGATAACTCTGTAAAGTTTTCTCTTTGATTTGAAGATATTCGTCTGCATTCAATGGGCGACTAATCCAATTATTGTTGCCCTCCAGAACAGACCATTCTTCAAGACATACAGACTACTAAAATTATTGTTAATTGAATGGTTGAAAATTGATATTTTCAAAGACCGAGACCACAGTGCACATCTATTGAAAACATGAACACGGACGTTATGAGGTAAGTTCCTTTTTAGTCTGACATGCCTGTATTCTGTGTATCCTGAGATGATTCAATTCTCCCACATTTCTGTGTTCAGCCTGCTGCAAAAAGTCTCAGTGATAGAGTATACCAAGAAGGCAACTGGATTGCACTTGGTATAAACTCAAAGATAAACACAAATCAAAAGAGAAAAACAAGGATTCTGATGATACATGCCACTACTCAAGTGTGGTCATCCATATGATTCAGAATCTGCTTATAATAACTGTTACAGATGATCATCACCATGAAAACAAAAATTTAAATTTCTCATAGAGAATTTACAGATCCTTGAGAAACTGACGAACTCTGGGAAAGAAGAGTTGAGCGGGAAAAGTCAAACAGTTTGCCTTTGGGAGACTAAAGTCCAAGTCCAACTGTGTCACTAACTGACTCTGGAAGGTTGGGCAAGTGTTTACATCTTTAGGTATGTTTCCTCATCTATGAAACAGTCCTATAATCCCCCTTACGTCACAGGTCCACTATGACGGTGAATCAGACAGCTTACGTGCAGGTGCTTAAACAACCCTCATCCTGCTTACAAATGGAAAACAATCACAATGGCAGGGGCAAGTGGCTAGAGGTTGACTTCTATACGCTTTGAAATGCCCTGGCCACTTATTCCTGAGTAGCAGGGGACAGATGTGAATACCTCCTGGCCCTTCTGGTCCTTCCTGTCCAGGCCTCTCCTGAGCAAGTAAGGGTGGTGGTTATTGGTCAGCTTTCTGAAAGCATTTAAGAGTGAGGGCCCATTCCTTGCTCTCTGCTGCCCTCTTCAGTATGAAAATTGGCCTTGCATCGGACGGGGTCTCCGCAGCAAGTCAGGAAGTACCGTCCAAGCCCAAGCCTTATTGCCCTCTGGGCACCTCAGCTCAACAGTCCAGCTCCAGCCCCTACTCAGGATCCCACAGCTCCAGGCTGGCCCTGGTTCACTGCAGGCTTCAGGCCCTAGGCCTTGTGCAAGCTCCTCTGTTCATTTCTCAGTCTGCACACTTTCTTTCTTGTTAGGGCTTAGTTAAGATGATTTTAGGGCCCAGAGACCCTATAAAGTTTCCTCATGTTTGTTGACCTGCAATGAAATGATTTCCAATTACACATTAGCCCCTGAGGTAAAAAGATATGCTCTGTTGTTCTAATTCCATTTTAATGTTTGAGGTCTATTTGAATGTCTAATTCTATTTTAATGATAAGTATTTGCATTAGCCTTTTGAACACCCTTGAGGCGTGGCACTAAATAAGCAATGAGTTCTTAAAAGCAGCTTTTTTGTTTGCCACTCACAGCCCCATTATTCTTTAGACTAAGGAAGTCATTTCCAAATGAACCACACAGGACTCACAAGAGGCTCCGGTGGGTTCAGGGAAGAAAATATTAGAACTTTTATTTTCATATAGTATATTTAATTTCATTCTTCTAAAGTTTCAGTCTTGGACAATATTTTACAATATACATGACATAATAGTGGACTAGCGCAGGCACAGAATTTATACATAATTTTTTGAGAATATTACTTTGTTTTCTTAATTATTTTATTGAAGTATAGTTGACTTACAATGTTAGTTTCTGCTATACAGCAGTGATTCAGTTATATATATATATATATATATATATATATATACACATTCTTTTTTTATATATTATTTTCCATTACAGTTTATCATAGGATATTGAATATAGTTCTCTGTGCTATACAGTAGAACCTTGTTGTTTATATACATAAATATTTATATATTGTAGGGAAGTGCTAATTTTATTTGATTTATTTGTTTTGTTCCTGAAGGGATATACGATGATAAAAGGTTGGAGACCTCTATTCTAGAAGAGTATTTATCATCCTGGCTGGGTTTCAGAATCACTAAGGGAGCTTTTTAAAAAAGTATATTATGCTCTAACCCCATCCCAGACTTAGTAAACCACCATCTTCAGCAGTGAAGCTTGTGATATATGATTATTTTTTAATTTTTTAATTTTCTTTTTTTATACAGCAGGTTCTTATTAGTCATCCATTTTATACACATCAGTGTATACATGTCAATTCCAATCTCCCAATTCATCACACCACCCCCGCCCCCCCGCCACTTTCCCCCCTTGGTGTCCATACGTTTGTTCTCTACATCTGTGTCTCAATTTCTGCCCTGCAAACCGGTTCATCTGTACCATTTTTCTAGGTTCCACATACATGCGTTAATATACGATATTTGTTTTTCTATTTCTGACTTACTTCACTCTGTATGACAGTCTCTACATCCATCCACGTCTCAACAAACGACCCAACTTCGTTCCTTTTTACGGCTGAGTAATATTCCATTGTATATATGTACCACATCTTCTTTATCCATTTGTCTGTCAATGGGTATTTAGGTTGCTTCCATGACCTGGCTATAGTAAATAGTGCTGCAATGAATATTGGGGTGCATGTGTCTTTTTGAATTATGGTTTTCTCTAGGTATATGCCCAGTAGTGGGATTGCTGGATCATATGGTCATTCTATTTTTAGTTTTTTAAGGAACCTCCATACTGTTCTCCATAGTGGCTGTATCAATTTACATTCCCACCAACAGTGCAAGAGGGTTCCCTTTTCTCCACACCCTCTCCAGCATTGGTTGTTTGTAGATTTTCTGATGATGCCCAGTCTAACCGGTGTGAGGTGATACCTCATTGTAGTTTTGATTTGCATTTCTCTAATAATTAGTGATGTTGAGCAGCTTTTCATGTGCTTCTTGGCCATCTGTATGTCTTCTTTGGAGAAATGTCTATTTAGGTCTTCTGCCCATTTTTGGATTGGGTTGTTTCTTTAATATTGAGCTGCATGAGCTCTTTATATATTTTGGAGATTAACCTTTTGTCCGTTGATTCGTTTGCAAATATTTTCTCCCATTCTGAGGGTTGTCTTTTCGTCTTGTTTATGGTTTCCTTTTCTGTGCAAAAGCTTTGAAGTTTCATTAGGTCCCATTCGTTTATTTTTGTTTTTATTTCCATTACTCTAGGAGGTGGATCAAAAAATATCTTGCTGTGATTTATGTCAAAGAGTGTTCTTCCTATGTTTTCCTCTAAGAGTTTGATAGTGTCCAGTCTTACATTTAGGTCTCGAATCCATTTTGAGTTTATTTTTGTGTGTGGTGTTCGGGAGTGTTCTAATTTCATTCTTTTATATGTAGCTGTCCAATTTTCCCAACACCACTTTTTGAAGAGACTATCTTTTCTCCATTGTATATCCTTGCCTCCTTTGTCATAGTTGACCATAGGTGCGTGTGTTTATCTCTGGGCTTTCTATCCTGTTCCATTGATGTGTGTCTCTGTTTTTGTGCCACTACCATATTGTCTTGATTACTGTAGCTTTGTAGTATAGTCTGAAGTCAGGGAGTCTGATTCCTCCAGCTCCGTTTTTTTCCCTCAAGACTGCTTTGGCTATTTGGGGTCTTTTGTGTCTCCATACAGATTTTAAGATTTTTTGCTCTAGTTTCGTAAAAAATGCCATTGGTAATTTGATAGGGATTGCATTGAATCTGTAGATTGCTTTGGGTAGTATAGTCATTTTCACAATATTGATTCTTCCAATCCAAGAACATGGTATATGTCTCCATCTGTTGGTATCATTTAATTTCTTTCATCTGTGTCTTCTAGTTTTCTGCATACAGGTCTTTTGTCTCCCTAGATAGGTTTACTCCTAGGTATTTTATTCTTTTTGTTGCAATGGTAAATGGGAGTGTTTCCTTAATTTCGCTTTCAGATTTTTCATCATTAGTGTATAGGAATGCAAAAGATTTCTGTGCATTAATTTTGTATCCTGCAACTTTACCAAATTCATTGATTCGCTCTAGTAGTTTTCTGGTGGCGTTTTTACGATTCTCTATGTATAGTATCATGTCATCTGCAAACAGTGACAGTTTTACTTCTTCTTTTCCAGTTGGTATTCCTTTTATTTCTTTTTCTTCTCTGACTGCCGTGGCTAGGGCTTCCAAAACTATGTTGAATAACAGTGGTGAGAGTGGACATCCTTGTCTTGTTCCTGATCTTAGAGGAAATGTTTTCAGTTTTTCACCATTGAGAATGATGTTTGCTGTGGGTTTGTCATATATGGCCTTTATTTTGTTGAGGTAAGTTCCCTCTACGCCCACTTTCTGGAGAGTTTTTATCATAAATGGGTGTTGAATTTTGTCAAAAGCGTTCTCTGCATCTATTGAGATGATCATATGGTTTTTATTCTTCAATTTGCTAATATGGTGTATCACATTGCTTGATTTGCATATATTGAAGAATCCTTGCATCCCTGGGATAAATCCCATTTGATCATGGTGTATGATCCTTTTAATGTGTTGTTGGATTCTGTTTGCTAATATTTTGTCGAGGACTTTTGAATCTATATTCATCAGTGATATTGGTCTGTAATTTTCTTTTTTTGTAGTATCTTTGTCTGGTTTGGATATCAGGGTGATGGTGGCCTCATAGCATGTGTTTGGGAGTGTTCCTTCCTCTGCAATTTTTTGGAAGATTTTGAGAAGGATGGGTGTTAGCTCTTCTCTAAATGTTTGATAGAATTCACCTGTGAAGCCATCTGGTCTTGGAGTTTTGTTTGCTGGAAGATTTTTAATCACAGTTTCAATTTCATTACTTGTGATTGGTCTGTTCATATTTTCTATTTCTTCCTGGTTCAGTCTTGGAAGGTTATACCTTTCTAAGAATTTGTCCATTTCTTCCAGGTTGTCCATTTGATTGGCTTAGAGTTGCTTGTAGTAGTCTCTTAGGATGCTTTGTATTTCTGCGGTGTCTGTTGTAACTTCTCCTTTTTCATTTCTAATTTTATTGATTTGAGTCCTCTCCCTCTTTTTCTTGATGAGTCTGGCTGATGGTTTATCAATTTTGTTTATCCTCTCAAAGAACCAGTTTTTAGTTTTATTGATCTTTGCTATTGTTTACTTTGTTTCTATTTCATTTATTTCTGCTCTGATCTTTATGATTTCTTTCCTTCTGCTAACTTCGGATTTTGTTTGTTCTTCTTTCTCTAGTTTAGGTGTAAGGTTAGATTGTTTGAGATTTTTCTTGTGTCTTGAGGTAGGCTTGTATAGCTATAAACTTCCCTCTTAGAACTGGTTTTACTGCATCCCATAGGTTTTGGACCGTCGTGTTTTCATTGTCATTTGTGTCTAGGTATTTTTTGATTTCCTCTTTGATTTTTTCAGTGATCTCTTGCTTATTTAGTAACATATTGTTTAGCTTCCATGTGTTTGTGTTTCTTACGTTGCTTTCCCTGTAATTCATTTCTAATCTCATAGCGTTGTGGTCAGAAAAGATGCTTGATATGATTTCAATTTTCCGAAATTTACTGAAGCTTGATTTGTGACCTGGGGAATGTTCCGTGCGCACCTGAGAAGAAAGTGTAACCTGCTGTTTTTGGATGGAATGTCCTATAAATATCAAGTAAATCTATC